TGTAAGACTTGAATAGGCTAAAGTGACTCCATGCTAATAGGCCAGACTGTGCTTCTTCATATGCTAATTGCTACCTTGGTTAACAGCCCGCCCAGGGGCAAACGGTTTGACAAAAGGTGACCCTAGAACATTTCCTGCATAAGATAAGCAATGTGTTTTCAGTCTTGTTCTGTGAATTCCCTGACTCTTTGTTTAGAAAAACCTTATAAAAAGTACCTCAGCCCCCGAGCAGTTGCCTCTCTGAGCCACCTGGCTCCGGGAGTGCCGTCTGGCCAGACTAATAAAGGTCTCTTTTACCATCTAGCCTGGTGTGTTCCTTCCTGGGTTTCTCGGTTCTCTGTCGTGTTCCCGGAGCCTCGCTGGGTGTTAGGGCCCAGCATCGTGGAGGCCTTTCGGCTGTTCACGCTCCGTGGAGTGGAAGTGAGACTTTAGGTCTTACACTTCCATCCACTGCCTTGCAGCAGCAGAACATTAATACCCTTCTCAGCTAGCTACTGAAAACACTTCCAATGCTAATGAGAAAATATTAGCACTCTGAAGGACACATCAACTTAAAATTGAAATAAATTGGATACATGACAGTGATTACTACCATCAGCATCTGGGTAAGTGTATTATCTTCCATTTCAGCCAAAAATTTTGCAATTACATTATAAAATATATATTAGTAACTACAAAAACACTATACTATGAAAAAATATTTCCTATGATGGGTATTCTTTCCTTGTGCATTCTCATCTACATAAAGTGTTTTTCTTGTTCTGTTCCTCCTCCTCCTTTGAAAAAATGTATGTTTAAATGTTCTTACCCGTGATACCGTTAAAGAACTAACAGGCAACTTTCTCTCATATGTTTTGTCCATTAAAGATGCAAGATCAGCTGTGAAGACAAAAAGGAAAAGAGCTTTGTTAAATAAATATACATGTTTCTTAAGAAAAACCTAACAGCAGGCTGGGGATTTAGCTCAGTGGTTCTGCCCCCTGCCTTGTAAGCACAAGGTACAGAGTTCCATCCCCAATACCAAAAAACAAAAACAAAACAAAACTAATAGATATGATTCCTGCCAGATGGCTGCCAACACTGCAAGTCAGTATTGAATCAGATGCTTAATCTTGTTCTTTTTTTAGAAAGCTTTTACATAAATTAAAGAGACCAGTAACTTTTATAAAGTTCTTTGCATATAATTGTTTAAAAATGGATCAATAAAATATTTCTGGAAAGAGATTAAAAAGTGGTATTTTTGACAGACTCCAGGAAAAGAAACTAGATGAGAGGCCAAGAGAAGGAGATTCTGCACTGCTTACCTATTTATTCCCTTAGCATTTTTAGGCAGGTAAATTTATTAGCTATTCCAAAATTTAAAAAATGAAATTTACCAAGTGACTTTTAAACATTCCCTGAACAAATCAGAGAAGTTCCCTGACTAAACTTAGTGATTTTTTTGGCCCAAATTATTCCTATTCTGTTTACTTCTAGTAGAACAACCCTAGTGTTACTTGGTATTTCTGAGATTATATTTTTATCTCAGAGTCTAAAAAGATGTGAAATGCTGGTGGCATGCTTTCCGAAATATTTATTTCATGTCATGTCCTTGCTTCTCAAGTTTATAATATCTTCTTTCCCTCTGCCCCCTCACTTATACTCTCAGCTTATGATTTTATCCAATTTCACTTTTTAAAAAAAGCAATCAAAAGAGAACTTCATCCTTCTTGCATCAAATCTACTAGGCTAGTGGCATCTGTACTCATATTACTTGGCCTTATATTGTTACAGAAGATGAAAAGGTTTTAAAAACAGTAGCAAAACATCTTCTCTTGCTCTCAATATTTTCCATAGCTTCTTTGCTCTCCTTAGAGAGACTCCGCCTTCAAAGAGTCAGCTTTAAAGTAACACTTATGAATTCCTTCGTTCCCACTCTTCAACTCAATCTAATCACCACTCCACTACCACCAGTGACCACCAGCACGCTGTTAGATCCAGTGGTTAATTCTCCATTCTCATCTTGCTTGACCTCTTCTATGTACCTCTCTACAGTAACTGATCATTCTAAGAGGTATTTATTCTCTCTGCCTCTTCCTCTTGGCTTCCTTTACAGGAACTCCTCCTCTTGACCGCCTGCCCTCTCCTCCCCGTTTCTCCTTTCTCATCTTCCTCCTCCTCTGCCTCTTCCTTCTCCTTTTTTGAAACAGGGTCTCACTACTTAGAGCAGGCTGGCCTTGAATTCTCTGAGTAGCCTAGGCTGGCCTCAAACTTGTGATTCTCTTCCCTCAGCCTATTAAACACTGGAATTACAGGTGTGTACCACTGACTGTGCTTCTTTTTGCCTCATAAATGGGAATGCCCCAGTCTCTGTAGTAGACTCCACTCTTCCCTTGACCATCTGTGCTTAGTTCCTAGGTGATCTCATTCCCCCCATGGCTTTAATCATTGTCCATAGACTGCATGCTCTATGTACGTATAGCCACCCTCACTTCTGCCTCAGTTTCACACTTGCATTTCCAACTGCATAGGTGATTTCCCCATCTGCTTGTCTAATAGACCTCTAAACATTACTGGTACATGTCCTCTTAATTTTTCAACTCTCTATTCTAAGTGTATTTTCCCTATCCCACATAAATGGGATGGGAAAACACCTGCTGACTTACTCAGACCAAAAAAATAGGTATCAGTTTTAATCCCATTCTTTTTCACATTTGTCAGCAAGTCCTACAGGCTCCATATTTACACACACACACACACACACACACACACACACACACACATATTGGTATATATATTATACCATACATATATATTATAAAATACATTATATATAAATATACATACATTTTTTCACCAGCACTAAGTCTCTTTCCTGACATTACTTTAATAACTCTTCACCACTATCATTTAATCTCCATCCAGCAGGCTAAGGCTTTTGAAAGGCAATTCAGATCATGTCATTCTCTTTTCTGAACCACCCAATGTCTTATTATAGTTAGAATAAAATCCCAAATATTTTTAGGAACTATAAATGCCTACATAAACTGGCCTGCGGATTTTTCTGCCTTACACTAAATTAACTGTAAAATCCATGAAGGCATGAACTAAATTTACTGATCTATTCTCAGTCCTTGAAACCATTCTATGAAAGACAATGAATATCTAAAGAAATCAATAAAAGGAATGAAGAGTATGGAAAAAGAAGTGACTGGATTGTCAAGGCTTTTTTACACTCAGGTAGTTGACATTAGTATCAAGTAATCAGAAGCTACTATGAGATAACCAATGAGTAAGCATTTGATGACCTCTTACGGTGCACTTAAGGTTCCCCCTCTCCTTTCCCTGGGGTAGTGATCTGAATGAATAGTGACTAGGGGAAAATAACTTTTGCAGGGGTGGGAGGGGGGTACCGGGGATCAAACTTGGGCCCTTGCGCTTGCAAGGCAGGCAGCGGAACCACTGAGCCAAATCCCCCGCCCTTAAATAATTTTTTAAGAGTAAAACTCTTAAAACCTGATACCCGATGAGGTGCAAAAATAAATAGCTTTCCAGCTGGGCATGGTATTGTGTGTTTACAATCCCAGCACTAAGGAGGGTGATGCAGGAGGACTGCTGCAAGTTCAAGGCCAGCCTGGACTATCTAGTGTGTTTAAATCAGCTTGAACTACATAGTGAGATCCTGTCTCAAAAAACCCCAAACAAACAAACAGATTTACTTATAACCATCTTAAAGGGATATGACACTTATTTAAGGAACATACAAAACAAATCCTCAAAACCCCTTTACACTAAAGGCAATTAATATTGTTGATATCTGTTTACTTGCAGGATAGATGTCAAACAACTCTCTCAGGATGCCAAGGCTTTATGAACTCTTCCTGTAGAGGTTCTTATGATGATAGGGAGTATAAGAAATTGCCTTCCTTTAATTCAAAATAGATACTGTTAATAAGCAGGATCAGGAACTACTGACCTCATTAAAGTAGTCCTCAGGCCCCATTTCCTTGAGGGTTCCACACACTTAAAAGTCTAACCAAACCCTGGACTGAGATGGCTTTGCCAGTCACTTCTAAGAGTTGTCACCAAACATTTATATGGAGGCCCCTCAGTTAAGTGAACTCAGCCAGGCTTAAACCAGGCAACAGCTGCACAGCCTGCATCTGATGAATGTCATTTACATACTGCAAGTCAGAGGAAGGTTTGCTGCTAAATACAACATTTGACCAATAAGTCTCATCACAGTGCTGGCATGATGGATGAGGCAGAAAACTGCATGGAGCCAGGAGAGCTGGGGATGCTGGGACAGCGGCAGCCTACAGAGGGCCAGCGCCACAGGCTTTTGGACGGTGGGCTCCACAGTCAAAGTCACACTTGATGTTTCAGGGAGGGACCAGCAGGGGCCCAAGTTCTGCTCAAAGGGATGTGCCAAAGAGGGTGTTTGCTGGTTACTGAGCTCCTCAGGAACACATGCTGCAGCAGATGGGTGGGGGAACAACCAGAGCTACATGGATTAATGTATCTGCAGTTTAAATGCTTCTTTCAACAAAACCTTTAACACTGCAGAGATACAGTGGAAATGTGAGTTTCTTGAGGACTTGCACCAAGACAAACATTGAAGGGCAGTGGCACATAAACCTGGTGGAGGATCTGAATGGTGTGAAGGGTTTTAACATGTGGGACTCCTGGGCTTCCTGCCCAGAGGGAGGCTGTGACTCAACTCCCTAGGACTGAGCTAAGTTCCAGGAGACTGTGGCACTGTGGCCCATCAAGCATTCATCATTATGTTTACCCTGGAGGCAAGGAACACTAATGGGTTTTGGACCGCGTTCCTAAGCTCAAAGAAGACAGCAGATATAAAAGCATTTTAAAAAGGTGGTGCGGGGGAGAGACAGGAATTCAACTTCTGGATTTAAGACGAACCACATACTTTAAAAAAAATTCCTTTTACCATAAAAATAAAGCACCTACAATTTTTTTTTAATGTTTCAAATATGTGACTGAGCTTTCGAGATGATAGATGTAATTCTCAGAGGCCAAGTCAACAGGGTAGCAGAACCTAGGGGAGTTAAAGAAGTAATAACAATTCAGTCCCTGAGGGCACCTCAGGGCTCCAGTGACAGAGAGCTTAAATTTTAAAGACTTATAGGTGACAGGATAAAATCAAGGCTTTTGTAAAATGAGGAAGTGATTCAGAGCTCTTCAGGTAGGTCCAGGGAGTCAGGACTACAGTGAGTTTGAGGCCATCCTGTCCTATATAGTGAGACACTGTCTCAACAACAACAAATAAAAAAAGAATTATATATAAAGAGCTAATTTTACTAAGTAATCTAAAAATAGGAACTACTCAATAGTGACAAAGCTCATCAGTAACTGCCTGAGGAAACAGGGTGTGGGAGAGTTAAAAGGAAGGAGGAACGGATTATAAAGAAAGGGGAAAGACCTTTGGGGTGTGACAAAAGTTCTCATCTTGACTCTGGTGATGATTTCATGATCATATACCTGTACATATTAACATATTTTAAACTGTGTTCTTTGAATATGTTTAGTTCACTTTACAAAAACAAAACTTCAACAAAGCTCTAAAAAATGAATAATTTAGAAAACAGGTTAGAGACAAGTGACGTGAGAACGAGTGAAGAGCAGATCCCGAAGAAATGACACAGAATGCAGCAATGATCAAGATGAGACTATGACGAGTTAGGAGACACTGAGTAAGGTCTAAATAGAGTAAGGTCTAAAATATATTTAATTACATTTCCAACAGAAGTTAAGTAAAGAGAATAGGAGAGTTAATATACAATGAGATAATGGCTGAAATTTTCTGGAACTGAAAAAAATACAGGTTTTCAGATTCATCTCGTCGATAAGTAATGTAAACTCATTGTGTTATGTTATCG